TCTACAGAATGGCATCCATTTTTCTTGACATCTCTTATTAGAGATAATCTCACACGAAGTATCTCAAACGGTTAACGATTTGTCGGATAGAACGATGAGCTCTACTTTTTCACAGTAACACATCCGCCGCAAGCCGTGATCGTAGCACAACCTACGGAACGTTCAATTCGAGCCTTTCATTAAATCCACACTTTGAATCTAAAGTATGCAGTACAAAATGTAAAGATGTTGAGAGTGTATAGAAGATCGGCATCGTATGTGTTATGGAGAATTGGAGAATGGTGCCCGTCGTTCAGCTAAGGGTTGATCAATTCGTTTTTGGTTCGTTTTCGGACATGATCTAAACATAAGTCAGATAGTAACTTTAGGCCTAAACTCAGACCAGGCGATCACAGCGGAATATTGCTTTATTTACAAATGTTAGGTATGCATGAGCCACGGAGGCTTAGGCGTGCATTCCAACCAAATACGACCTAAGAACCTAACGGTCCCATTATCGTGCAACACGCGGCCGAGTAATTTACATGACTATTTGTTAATTTCTACATCATGTGTGATTCCTTGAGTTTTCCCTGACTAAGGCCGACTTAGTAATAGGAAGTCCTTTTTCTTCGGTAACAAACGTGGTTTTTCAGTTTATAGCGCTTGCGCCAGGTAACTGATATATAGATTTTAAACAGACTTGAGTAAACTTGGTGTCGCTGTGTCTGTCCTCACGCATGGCCACCGACGCCATGAAAGTGCTAGTCATTTTAAATTGGGTCACTTGCGCCCCAGTTTCACCTTTTATTGTGAAGATTATTATTCTGATACATGTATAGGAATATTAAAAGCCAGGATAGTTTCGCTGAAAGTTTAAAAAAAGCAATTTCGACAGCGCCAAAATCGACATAACACGGCGTCAGCACAACCCAGTTTTTGTTGAATTTAAGGAAAAAATTACGAAGGCCTCTGAAGCGTTCTTACAGGTACCAAATCAAAATGCGTAACCAGCTAAACACAAATCATTATCTTTCGACCACTATGCAGAAGTCCCTCGCAATATGCGCGTTGGGGACTTGATTCTAACCCCTACAAAACTATTTAATAGGGAATGTTTGCAGCTTACAAAATAAAAAATCACAGTATTCCATCTCAAATCTTATTGGATAATATGGCTGTGTTGAGAGGGACCCTCTGCAAAATGAAGACATTTATCGCCGCAGAGAGAATTTGGCGATATTTTCACGATAAAACTCGAAAAAAGGATTGAAATTTCGCTGGAAGAGCTTCAAATTCTCGACAAGATTTC